CTTCACCCTGCCCGGCAACGTCTGTGGCTCTGAACTGCAGGAAGGCCAGCCTGAGAGAGACCCTAACGGCACATCCAACCAGGAGCCCCAGTTTCTCTGGAAGAGACTTTTCCCTTTGAACAGGGCAGGGTTTGGGCTCCTCAGCTGCCCAGGAGGAAGTGATGACTCTGCTGGCCAGCACCTCTGCAGACAGGGGAAAGTGGCTCGTCAGAGATGGAAGTGCTGGGCCCAGAGCAAAGAGGCAGAGCTGGAGAAGCAGAACTCGCTGCCCTGCTCCTGCCCTCTGACTGCCTCTGCTGACCAAGTACTGCACAGTGCCTGCAGCTGGACAAGCTACAGGCACCCTTGCACGAAACCTCCCATAAGAAGCCTCCAGCTTCCACACTATCACAGCGAAGCCGCCCTTCCCTTGCTCCCAAACGCTGAACTTATTTTGTAGGCAGACACTGAATGACTTGATGCCCACCTCCACACTGCCTTGCCCACAGCAGTGACCTGATACAGTAAAGGGACAGACCGAAGGGCGCAGACAGCGCAGAATGCAACTCCAGAGTCCCTTCAGCCTCCGATGACCCATCTGAACACTTGGGGAAGGTGAATTCCTTTTTGTTTTTCACGCAGCAGCAGGAGCCTCTTTCCTCCCCGCGTATCCCCAGGCATCAAAGCTGCCTGCTTACCGAAGGTGCTGTAGCCAATATTGTCGCCGACGGCCGCGTCTGTGTCTTTCAGCTCCAAGGGCGGCTCCCTGTGGCTGAAGAGCACCTGTGGGGCTGTGTGACTGGCCCGGCGACCCTCCTTGAACTCCTGAACAAGACAAAGCGAAGGTGAGTCCCACTGTGACACTCCAGCAACATGCTGGGAAAGCAAATAGGGTGTCCCCACTCCCACAGGGCAACGGAGCCGGAAGTTTCCCAGCTTTCCCTGAACGGGCCGAGTGCATCAGGCCAAACCTCTGGAAAACAATCCTTTTTCCCAGCAGAACCAGACCAAAATGCACGGCTGTCATGGGTTTACAGGTGTCCGTAACGCAGCCCCTCAGCTGGGGTGGCCTTCAGTGTCACAATTCCTGCCACGGGTGTCCTGTGGAAGGGAGACCTCTGAGCAAGCACATGAGACAGCACAGCTCCTGCTGGGAAGTCAACACCATCAATGCTTCCAGCGAAAGCAGGCAGCGCCCATCACCCCAGAGGAAAAGAAATTCTCAGAAAGGGCTGCAAGGTCTCCACTGCAACCAGTGTAAAGGCTCTGCCATTCGAGAATGCGTCTCGTTGCCTAGGCATTAAGAGGCAGCTATGGGGTTTGAAGCGTCTGTGTGAAGACTGCTCCTCCTAACACTTCTCTGCCTCCAGGCAGGGAGATTCCTTCCACCAGGGAACCTCTCTGACAGCAGCACAACCCCCATCTCACATAAAATGAACTGGCTCTGCATTTCAGGAGTTACAGGACTGTCTCTACGTGGAGCTGGGAGTCCAGACAACATTCCCCTGCACCAAGGCAGGGCAGACTCCCCACTGCCTCACTGACCCCCAACACAACCTACACGGCCTCTCCTCCCTTCTTAGCACAGCTCACCCTGGGAAGGGCAGGAGCATCCGTGCCCCTTTTAGTGCCCCTTTTAGAGAACCGAGTCATTCACTGGGGTTTCCTTAATGAAATGCTTAGCTTGCACTTAGTCTGCGTATGCCAGAGGGTGAAATGGTTCAAACGGCTTCACTGGTTCGTTAATGGTCAGATTTTCTCCATGAGAGCCCAGATGAGCCGCCACCGTGCCAGCTGGGCTGTGTTACACAAGAGCAATAGCTGGAGGGAAGGAGCCAGCGTGACTCAGAGTGGAAATTCTTGTGGCTGGGCAGG